TTGATATCTAGTGCATTAGCCACTTAAAAGGAAAATGCACAGAGGTGAGACCGCTTCGATTTCAGTGCAATTTAAGAAGTGTTGCAATAGAGTCCAGGATCAAAACTCTAAGAACTCTTATTAGAATTAAAAACAGAGATAGATTGAGACGTGGGTGTTTATTTCAACGTTGGTCTCATTTTGGTGAATACATCCTATTGGATTGAGACCTTTGTCATTTTCCATTCATGAGTCTGATTTCCATTGTAATAAAACAAAAGAAGTATTGATATTATGACATTATCTGAGGCCCACAAATACAAGAGAGTTGGGGAAAAAGTATAAACACATTGAGACAAATACAGAAAATGATAATTGTGGCCTATCGGAGGATCTCATTTGTAAGAAGGTGCTCAGAGCAGCCGCTAAAGTCTCCCACAGCCAGTCATTTGTTTCACCCAGCTCACCAGGAGCCCGCCTACCTCTTCACTGATGACACCGAGAATGATGTTCTCCAGCTCTGTCTGTACCCTTAGCTGAGACCTAGCCCAGAACCATGGCCTCCCAAAGCAGGAGACCTTCACAGTTCTGCACCAAATGGGGGAGAATCTTGCTTGTTTTCCAGCCTTAAGGACAAGAATGTTTGCAGGTTTCCCCAGAGGGAGCTGGATGGCAGCCAGTTCCAGATCTCAGGCCACCTCTTTCTGCATGCGATGATCCAGAAGATCTTCAACCTCTCCAGCACAAACAGCTGAAATTCCTCACTGGATCTGATCAGCAGCTGGAAGATCTGGAGACCAGTTTGGTGCAGGAGATGGGAAGGAAAAGACCATCCAGGGCAATGGGGACTCCAGCCAGGCTATGAAGAGGTATTTGCAAAGAACCGCCTCTAACTGAAAAAGAAACTACACAGCTGCTGTGCCTGTCACATTATCAGCCTGGAAGTTAACAAATGAAAATCATAGAAAACCTTAGAAGTTGGAAAGGATACTTAGACCCAATCTTTCATGGTTGAGTCTTATCTACTTATAAGTCTTATCTACTTATAAACCTCAAGCTTATAAATTTTCACTCAGTTCAAAGAGTTTTTTCTACTCAATTGTAAAATGCATTGAGTCATTTTAGCTGATTGTTTTTCAAAAAACAAGAGGAAACAACTTTTGAATCAAGAGAAAGTGCATTTTTAATTTATAATAGAATTTTTCTATGATGATTATTGTATTTACAAAATTTGTTCTTCATGTTGTTTTTGTGGTCAACTTGGTCTTCTGCTTTCATTCTCTTAAGGGTGTAAAACTTATATTTTAAATGTTAGACCTTATTCATACTCTTAAAGAGATACAAAGTGCCATAATACTTTAATCTTCTTTCAAATCCAAAGGGAACAAGAATAGTTTTATTGATTTCAATAATTCCTAAAATACTTTGAAATATCTCTGCTCTGAGTAATTTACTTGTGTTTGTCAATATATTGGTAAAGGAAACAAAGATATAACTTTATTTAATGGGGCACTCTGGCAGAGAAGACAGGCCTTAAAGAGTAAGTAATCAAGTGGAACCCTTCCTAGGGTCATGAAGGAGACACTATGACAGATTATAGCATCAGTTTTACTTATACTCTCTTGGCAATACCATGTTTGATGGTTGTTGACTCAGTTTCAGTTGTTGCATGAACTAGAAACTAAAGCGAAATATAGATTCATGAAATTTAAATTTCAACAAGTAAGTAGTGAATATACCCTCTATTCGTTATACTGTGGTGGGTGCTGGATACAATGCAAAAAGTAGACACTTTGTCTGCTGTCACAGAGCTTCTTCCAGTCTGGTGGGGATATGGGTAATTGCGCATTGTATTAAAGTGATTCTAGAGGCTGTGACAGGGAAAGCACAGGATACTGGGAACATATAAGGCTCGTATCGTTCAGGGAAATCTTCCAGAGCAATTAACTGCTAAGCTGGCATCCTGAAGATCTGTAGGAGTTAGCCAATAAATACATGATAGTCACTTTTGGACATATTAAGTGGAGGTATTCTCGGGTAGCAGGTAGAAATAGGGTTCGCAGGTAATGACTAATGTTTAGAGATATGATTCTGGGTAAAGACGTGTGGAAGTTGTTTCATAGCGATGGCATTTATAACTATTTGGGAGGTTGAGACTGTATGTGCAGAGAGGATGACATGTGACACCTAGCTTCAAATTTTGAGGAACACCGAATTTCCTAAGATTAGAGCGGGTAGTCAAAAAGGAAGGAGAGGAGGAGGAGCAGAAAAGCAGAAGATGGTGTCATAGAAACTAGATGAAGGTTTGAATGAATGGAGGATGTGGTCAAAATTGTCAGATGCTTCTGAGATGTTGGCCATGATGGACTGACAGTGATCTCTCGTCTCTGTAAGACATAGTTTATTGTGAACCTTGGCTGAACAGTTTCAGAAGAGGCCTGCCGAAGGGACATTACAGTGGGTTGGGAA